GAGGAATATGTACTAGTTTAACTGTTTAAGGCTTTAAGCCGGATTCTTCTTGTTGTACCCACTATCGTACCCACTTTTGTACCCACCATGTCTTCATAGACATATTTTTGTCTATGACCGGGATTCACAGACAAAAGGAAAACTCCTCACAGACATGGTGGGTACAAAAATGGGTACAATAGTTGGTACAAACAGATTTTTCCCATCTCCAAAGGCTCCCCATTTTGAAAATAACACATAACCGGTTTATTAAAAGGAGCTAGTATGAAATGTGCAGATCCTGATTGTCAATTCTAAAAGGAAAAAGACGGAAAATGAGTCTAGGTGAACTACCAATTCAACGATTTAAAATTCTATGTTCATCATTACCAATAGCCTGTTGTATATAATGAAAAATTGAAAAGTACTCTAATTTACCAAAACTATTCACAGAACCACACGTTAGTCAGTTACGGGAAAAACACTTGGATTATAACGATAACCATAAAACACTTTTTTTTGGAAGATGACTTATGTTTATTATAATTCAGACAATTAGTAAAAAGACAAAAAAAAAAAATATGACTCGTTGGTCCTATAATGCACATAACTGAGCCAAAAACGATCACAACTGACCTTTCAACACCTGATTCAAACTCTAGAGTCTGACAAAAATCAAACAAAAACAGAAACAAAAAACACCCGCACCAAAGCAAAAGGCAAAAAGAAAAACATAGCTATTAGAATTAAATTGCGTCCCCAGAATTACAGAAGCTCCAGCTCTCCTTCTTAGACATAAAATTTCTCAAAAAGCAGGCGGGTCTGCAGGGCCGGAGCTACAACCAATGCCAAAGGGGCAGCCCCACCTTCCCACTTTTCATCTTTTAGTCTTTAGTGAATTTGTAGTCTCGTGAATAGTACGTAGTACGGTAGTAGAGAGGACAAACAAAATGTTCAATGTAGCTCAACTCCTGAATGAAAATTTGGATTCCTTTTTAATTAATTAAGAGTTTAAGTAAAGAAAATAAGCCCAAACTGGAAGGAAATGATTTATTACTACGTACATATATATAGGAGTGTGTATTTAAGGAATTCATTAAGAGCCCGTTTGGAGACCTTTTTTTCGGCTTATCAGGCTTATCAGCCAGCTTTTTCACCAAACATGTAACTTTTACTTTTGTGTGCTGAATTGTGTAATAAGCAGAAAAAGTAAGGTTGGAGTTACTTTTCTGGCTGTATTGGCTGAAGTTACTGTAGAGGACTATTTTAGCTATTTTTACATGTAATTTTTTCTATAATTTCTTAATAAAATATATTTTTAAAATATTTTTTTGTTGAATCAGCAGAATCAGCCAAAACAGTCACTTCAGCCAGAATTTCATAAATTTCAGCAGAAACAGCCAAAACAGCCGATTTTCGTGCTACCAAACGGGCTCTAAATGATAATTCATTATGTCACTAAACTCCAAGTGTTCTAGCTAAGCAAACCAAATAATTTTTTACACTCCATTTTAAAAACTAGTTTTTCAATGCGCGTTGCGCGTGTGGGATAGTGCCCAATACCATTGAAAATATAATTTTGAATCCAGCAAGACCATTCACTCTACCAAATGATATGATATACATCCTAGAATGGCGACGATTGTGGTCCACTTTTCTAATATTTGATTTGCTAATTAACTCGGGAGAAAACATGGGAGCAATTGTGGCCCAAGGAAAGTGAAAAAGATCTTCCAAAATCGTAAAAATGTATGATAATTTTTTTGATAAATAAGGATGTTTTTATTGAGACTGATTGCAGTCCCAAACCAGTCCAAAATAGACCAGATCAAGTTTAATTAGACCAATCCATATTTAAGACTAACCCTGATCATACCAGGCTTCAATAGTTATAAAATAAGATAGGGCAGACATCACCAGTCCAGACCAGACCTAAACAAACCCGGTCATACCAGATCAAACCAAATGAGGCCAGAAAATCACAATCCAGTTAAATACGGAGTACATCTTAATAGCCTAGAAATGATCTATATTTTATGGGAATACTTTAAAAGCCATTATCAGCCGGAAATATTAATATATACTCCCTCCGTCCCGTTGGAATGTTCCCGCTTTCCTTTTTGGATGCCCCAAAAAGAAGTTCTCATTTCCCTAAATGGAAAGTTATCCTACATTAAAACAGTGTCAAACAGTGCAAAACAGTGCCAAACAGTGTCCAAACAGTGTCAAAACAGTAAAATTTACCCCCTGGTAAGTTTATTTCCTTAATATGTGTGTATGTCAAACCTGGAACATTCCAACGGGACGAAGGGAGTACTACGAGCATGTTTATTAGGCATATGTCCTGAAGAGTTCTACTACCAAATCAGATTTAGGTCTAGTTGCCTTGAAGAGAGAAGTACACAACCCAATCCATTTTCACCCAACATACTATTAGGTTAGACATTTCTTGTAGTTTTTAGTAGGTCGTTTAAGTGTTGATGACCATAAATATAATTGTCATTCCTATGTATCAATTCGATATTGATGTTCTTGTGATTATTGGAGAAGGAGTCATACATCGTATATAAAAATAGACCGGATCCACTTTTCTAATATTTGATTTGCTAATTAGCTCGGGAGAAAACACGAGAGCAATTGTGGCCCAAGAAAAGTGAAAAAGATCTACCAAAGATCGTATAACTTTTGATAAATTAGAATGTTTTTATTGGGACTGATTGCAGTCCCAAACCAAAATAGACCAGATCAAATTTAATTAGACCACTTCAGACTTAAACAGACCAGATCAGATCGAGCTTCAATAGTTATAAAATACACATAAGTCAAACATCACCAGACCAGACCAGAGTACAAGTTTTATCGGTACAGTTTAAAAGCCATTATCAGTCGGAAATATTAATATATACTACGAGCATATATGTTTAGTAGGCATAAGTCCTAGCTTCTAGCTTTTCTACTATTTACAATGTTTTGAAAAGTTTCTAGTTGTATATTTGACAGGGTAATTTTTAAGAGTTTTTATCATCAGAATAAAAAATCTTTTTTGAAAGGATACACTGATTAACATTTGAGAAAAGTCTGTAGTTTTAAACATTAATTAGTCAGAACAACTTGTAACCCTAAATATAATTAAATCAAACAGTCAACTTTTATTATCAAACAGCTAATAATCTTTTCTTTTTAAATATTTTCAGTCATTAAGAGCTGACAATTACCCTACGCATACGGTATAATAATGGTCAAAATGCATTTCGTGCTATATTGGAGTCCTACCTGCAATTTGTACCTTTGTAAAATGGCCTTTGGAGCACCGTATATGTTTGAGAGGATGAGTATGAGACCTGCGGCCTAATTGACTGATTCCCATAGAATATTCTTTTTATTGGAAAGAGGGAAAATATTGTTTATTAATAACCAAAATACATGTTTTTAGAGTTGAGATTAAACTCCTAAAGAGTTACAAAGCCACAAAGGCAACGGAAATGATTGGATTTGTTTTCAACTTAACGGAAAGAAACGGAAGAAGTGGGTTATAAAGGTCAATCAATTCAAAATGTACAACTTATTATGCATATTGAACAAACTTTTATTGCTTCTCTATTACACTAACATTTTTTTCATTCCTAATGCAACCTTACCATCATTGGTGCTTATAGTTTTTTATTTAAGATAAGATAAGAAAACGGACAAACCTAGGGTTGGACCGGGACCTGTCGGACCGGCCCAGTACCCGGACCGCCACTGTGGGGCACCGGCCCGGTAGACCGGGACCGGGACCAGGCCTTGGGCCCGGACCGGGGGGGTTTTGGGGCGGGTAACGGGCTCTAGCCCACTTGAAACCGGCCCGGCCGGTCTGGGACCAGTCTGGGCTAAAAATGTTTTTATTTTTTGATTTTTTCGGATGGATTGGGTGGTAGGTGGGTTGGGCTCGGTGGTTTGGGGGTGGGGTTAGGAATAAATAAGAAAAACAAAATTAAAAAAAAATATAAGACCCGGTCCCGACCGAACCTACCCAGGCCGGTACCGGGCCTCCAACTCCCAACCCTAGTCCCGTCCAAGACCCGATCCGGACCTGGTCCTGACCTGGGCCCGGTCCAACCCTAGACAAACCCATGCAAGCATACTAGCCTTATTATGCGCACCGCCCATTTGTTATAGGACTGAAAAATTCCAATGTATTTAACACAATGATAATGTCTATCTATTTATTTAAATCTGCCACCCATAAAAACCTTGCTATAGTGTTCCCGCTCAAAAGTTCTCCCCCACTATTTGTTATTATTATATAAATAAATAGATATAGACACAGATCAGATATATAGATGAAGTAAACGGCTATTACAATACTTTTAAATTTGATGGTACTACTCAAATTCTATATGAACATTTAAAAATAGTTGTGGAATCGATTTCATTCATTTAAGAAAAATTCCAAATAAATTAAACATTCAAAAATAATTGTAGTAAAAATTTAATTCATTTAAGTGTTAAAGATAGATACAATCAATAGACTACTTATTCATTTTTGTCTAGTTTGTAGTGTTTAGCATAGAATATATATGTGCTAACAATTTAAAACTCTTTTCCAAGAAAAACCATTTATACACAAAATTTGTACACATTTCGCACAATTGTATGTAATCGTTTGTCTAAAAAGACAATGAGTATACCCCTTAGTTGTTGGTGTACATAGAAAACTCATACTACATCCGTTCTCTTTTAAATGCAACATTGGACTTGTTTCATTATTCACGTGTTCTACTTTGACTTTATTTTATTTATTAATGTATTATAAATTAAATTTGAAAAAATATGGTTAAATTCTTCTCATTTTAAAATTTCAAAATTCATATTTTTTTAATTTTTTTACTAATAAGGAATACAAACTGTTAATTGTCAAAGTTGTGCGTTGTCAAACGTGAAATGTTGACCTTTACAATAATTAAAAAAGAACGGGGAAGTACAACATTCTCTATTTGTATAGTCAATTACGTATAAATGTGTGCGAAATGTGCGCAAGTTGTCAACCGGAAGAATTGTTGTTTGTTCCATTACACTCCGTTTTGTTTGGACTTTATTCGAGGGGACGTTATGGGGCAGATGAAGATGCTTGCATTAAATCGTAGTATCAGAAGAATACCTACGGACCCGATTATGAACTGAATATGGGAAGAGATATCGCTAATCGCTTGGACGGATGTATATTAAGAAGCTAAATGCACAAATATTCAGACTCCGATCAATCCTTTTTGTTCTTCAATAATCATGTCGTCCATAAAACTGCAGGCTGCAGAGTACTCTGCTACCGAGCACCTAGGCACGGCCCTTAGCCAACAAGATCACCACCACCACCACCACTTCAGCCACCAGGACCACCACCATTACCACCACCATGAATCCCCCCGCCGTGAAACCCATCCGCCGCCGAAGCAAACTTACCGGGTCTACTGCAAAGCCGACCCCTGTTTCGCCCTCGCCGTCCGCGACGGCACTGTGATCCTAACCCCCCACGACCCGACCGACCCGCGCCAGCACTGGGTCAAGCACGACTCGGTCAGCGCCCTGGTGAAGGACGAGGAGGGGCTCCCCAGCTTCCTCCTGGTCAGCAAAGCCACCGGCCAGGCGATCCAGCACGCCGTCGGCGGCCGTCAGGCGGTCAGACTGGCGCCGTACGGTGGGGACGGTGGGGTTCTTGACGGGTCGTTGCTGTGGACTGCGGGGCCCATCAATGGGGATGAGGAGTATAAGGACATACGGATGCAGAATAATATCCGGCTGAAAATGGACGCTTTTAAGGGTATTCCTGAGTTCGGCGGCGTCTCTGACTGGACCGTCGTTGGACTCTGGGAGTGGAATGAGGGGGATAATCAACGCTGGGCCATCGTCCCATACTGATCCTTACTGGGAATTTTCTTTTACTGGGTAATAATTTCTGATGATGAATGCTTTTTCATCTTTTTAATTTGCCGTATGTAATAAGGGAATTTCTAATAAGGTAGAAGAACCCATGTAATAATACCTGATTACCTTCTATGTTCAATTCGGAACTTTTAATATTCAACGTTTTGTTATTGTCGATCCTCAAAACTATAATGTTATCATATTGAAATGTGAGATCCATGTTTTTTTATGAAAATGTCACACTCTAAATTGATATGTGTTGTAAATATCATTTCTGGTGAACTTATTGGTGATTCAAAATTAGAGATGAATTATTAATGACGAGGATGACATTTACAACGCATATGTCAATTTCGGAGTGATATTTACAATTTCAGAAACACAAGGATGACATTTCAATTTGACGATTAATTGAAGGATCAAAAGTAGAGTTCGGGTTTTCCTTTAGTTTTAAGTATGTTCATGATGGGTTTGTACTCGACCAATGCATACTTGAATTTTATTTTATTCGGAGTCACATGCATACACATAATTCTGAGTCACATGCATACACATATTTCTATTTGTGTTTGGGAGTTGGTTTTTGGGAGGGAGGGAAAGATATGTCAATTGATGATCGTTCTATTTGTCTTTGGATGTTCACCTTCTCATCCCTTTCTCCTCCAACAACTTATCTTCTAATCCCGGCCTTTCATTTTCCTCCAAACATACTCGTATTAATAAACAAGGAATGCAAGCTTTGTTAATGTGATAAACAGACCCAAATTTGAAATATTCAGGATGAACTTCAAATAGCCGCAGGATTTAGATTTCTATCGCTGATTGAATAACACAAGGAAAAAGGAGACGAAAGCAGTATGGCTGATTAAGAAATAGAAGCATGGTTGCCGATTAATAATGTTTTTAATTATATTAAACATTTCTTATTTGAGTTTGTGTATTTTACAAATGCTAAAGACCTATTTGATCTGATCTATTTAAGTTTGATGTAATCCGAAAAGAATTCAAAAAAAAAAAAATATCGGAGTCCAAATTGGAATTAGGTGTTTAAAAGGTACCAATTGAAATTTTGACACCGAAATTTTAAACTATGTTTATTTGGGATCGATGTAAAAATATAAGAAAGAAGGCTTTGGTAGAGCTGCCTAAAAGGCTAAAATGATACGAAATATGGTCTTATAGAGAGGGTCGTTATTCACTTATTCGGCTCGTAAAGTTTACTATGCCAACTTGTTTGATTAGGATTCCTAAATTGCCACAGCTTGCTTTGTTGGCGTAAATTTTTCTTTGTATCCTTAATTCTTTTCTTTACTTGTTTCACATTCAATTCCTCCCTTCATTTACATGTTCTATTCAATTTGGAGGCAAAGATGGATTGCTATCAATACTTGTATATAACCTACTCCTAAATAATACTCGGTATAAAATCATACTTCAACTCTAGGTAGGATTTTTGAAATGAAATCTATACCTATAATGGACGACGACCAACCTAAGGCTGTGGACCATTCCCAACATCATTATCATCACCACCACCACTACTATCACCATGACCAGCCTGACCGTCATGGCTCGGTTGATATTCAACCAAAGCCCAAAATATATCGCGTGCACTGCAAGGTTGACTCCGGCTACGCCCTCGCTGATCACGAGGGCACTGTTATTCTCGCCCCCGTTGACCCGACGGACCCCCGCCAGGGTTGGGTCCGAGATGACAGCCTTAGCGTCCATATCAAAGATGAAAACGGTTTTCCCAGCTTTTTCCTGATCAACAAAGGCAGCGGTAGAGCACTCAAGCACCCCTTTGGCGCCGGTCAACGGGTGGAGCTTATGCGGTATGACCGTGGTGCGCTTCTTGATGGATCCATGTTGTGGACTGCGGCGGGGGAGGAAGAGTATAAAGCGATCAGATTGCAGAATAACGTGCGGCTGAACATGGATGCATTCGGCTGCGTCAAAGAGTCCAGTGGGGTACATGGTGGCACGATCATCGGAGTGTGGGAATGGAATGGCGGCGATAATCAACGTTGGAAGTTTGTTCCCTGCTAAGGAATTGAACTTTTCCTTATCCATGAATTGTACATTATGTATAAGAAATAATGATCATACATAGTAAAATAAGACTGTTTTATTATGGACATCACAAATGGGAATCACTATCCTTCTAATCAGATTACTCATCTACTTCTAATTCATATAACCATGAGTAGACAAATAATTTGGGGTGACAACTCCGATACCCTCCTAAAAAATGGGGGTACCGTACCTACCATTCATTTGATTGGACTGCATCACTTTATCATTTTTAATTTAGATTTAAATAATTCAACTGCTACATTCTCATTGGTCCATTTGGACAAAGGTATGGTGCCTTATGGGTACCATAAAATCTACCATAATTTGGTTTACACGTGTCAACAAAATCATGTAGAATTTGTTAGGAATTAAACTCACGCAACACGAAAGACAATAAGAAAGACACACGATATTTGGTAACCCAGTTCGCCACAAAGGACTACGTCTGAGGGCGCTACCAAGCCAGAATATTACTATTATTTTCTGATGATGATTACAAGGAGAGAGCATGTATTTATAGAGAGTAAAACCTAACTCCAATACTAATAGGACGTGCGGCCCAACCAGTACAAAACTCGCGGCCCATATACAGTCTCTAACACCTTACAATTACTCATAGATGAATGCTTGTGACTTGTGAGTCTATTTAGAAAATTTCATATTAAGAAGAATATCCAAACATTATCATTCATATATCTATCTCAAATATCTACAACAACTCTAAATTTTCTTCACTCTACAACACGGAGTCAACATGATTATGCTCAAATTCTTCTGAAATCATCATCTCCTGCGGGTATGAACACCATAGATTCATATTCATTTTCATATTAAAAGAAAACACAACTTATGCACATACCTTTAAAATTGACTTTACCAATCAATTTGGAACACATGTAATATCAATTTCTTCCATCTGCATACTCTCTCTATTTGTAGAAGAATAAATTTACAATAGAAAACACTGATTTCATTGCATGATAGGGTGAAAAAAGAAAAATGGAACGAAGAAAAATGGAGAAGGTTGAAAAAGATAAAAATGGTGAAACGAAGGAAACTGGACGACAAAAACATGGAACGTGTGCTTGAGAAGTGGAATATACTTCAAATGAAGTGGATATATGGTTACCTACTTCTTATGAAGAGTATATGATTTACCTGTTTTGATTTAGTGGAAATTTGAATAAATAAAAATATACTACGTCTATGGTATAAAATGAAAAAATAGGAATGCATTAACTACACATTGAGATCAAGCTGGGTGGTAACGTGAGTAACATCACGTGATTATATTTAATGGAATAACATCCTTAATGCACCAAACTATATGAAAATTCGGCGCATTAACCTCCTGTGATTTAAAAATTGCATCAAACCCCCTTGTGTTTTAATTAATTATGCACTGGATTTCTATATCACGAGGGGGTTTAGTGAAGTGGATCATGGCCGTTGAGAATAATGGGAACAGAGAGATAAGCGGAAAGGATTTGATCATGTTCACTGAGGATGCAGCGCGCGTCCAGGTGGGATTCAGTTTCAATCACGAACGACGACATCAAGTTATTGTGTTCGACTTGTTCACTGCCGGAACGGATAAGTCGTCAATGACAATCGAAACGGGAATTATTGAAAATTTGAAATGGTGGATATCTGAAGGCTTTCTTCAAAAAATTTGATGGCTTGACCCAAGGAAGGAATCACATAGCAAAGCTTGAATTTATATGTGAAATGCATAATTGGTACCTTAATTATATATGATCTTCATGTTTAAAAGAGTTATTTGTGAGAACTTTTAATTATCCTAATATGTTCAAAAGACTAAGAATAAGTTAGATTGTAAAGAGTTACTCTTTTTATTGTTCGATTCTTAGAAATTGGACAAATAAGAAGTAAACACCAGAAAGAAACCCACTATTTAGTCGGACAAAAGACTCATTTTACCATAATTAAATTAGTCAGACAAATAATTAACTCATTTTATCATAAGTAGAAATAAAGTAAAACTGAATTAGAGTGAGACCATATTACTAAATATGTTAAGAGACAAATTTAGTGGAATAGAAATAAAAAGAAAAATGGGATAATTATAGTGAGACGGAGAGAGTACTAATTAACCTAAAGTAACATAGTTAAATGAACCATCATTATATATTGGCGCAGCTTTTATTGAATATGAAGTACCATGAAAAAGTTATCAGAATACATATAATGATACCGTGATTTATTTTACTGGGGTTTTCACGATTTCTCCCTCCACATACATATAATATTATATGTAGTACAAATAGAAGAGTTAAAAAACTAGAGGCCTAGTATGTTATTTAGAACACATTTAAAAGACTTTGCCCTTGTTTGGCTGCTGGCGGTTCAGTCAAAATAATGCTATCATATTAAACACATCAAATGCTATAAATTGTAGCGATCTGATACGGTGTTTTGATTCAAACGCTAAAAAAACAAACGATTCCTTTGTATAGCATGAGTAGAAGATCAATACGGAATGATGTTCCACCATTGGTTATCAGTTCCTTTCCATTCATTTGTTTGAACTCGTGTCCCTTCATACACACTCTTTGGCTCTGATGCACCTAATGCATCCATATGATGGGCGTGATTGTTTTGCTACCGGATGGCTCGATACTCTTCAGGTTTCTTTTCCAGATTCATAGTCCACAACACGGATCCATCAAGGGGCCCATCACCATCGTACGGAACAAATCTGACTGAGTAGTGGGTTTGTTCTAGGTGTTTGATTGTTTCGCCGGTAGCTTTGTTGAGTTGTTGACCAGTGCAAAGCTCGGAAATCCACCAAAGTTTGTAATCTGAGAGCTTAATTTGTCTTCCTTGAACCAATGCTGGTGTGGATCTGATGGGTCCTTTGAAGCGAAGGTAACAGAGCCATTACGAATGGTGAGGGGAAAGTCGGGATTGTTTTTGGTGACAACCCGAAAAGTTGGCTTTGGCGGATGGTTCTTGCGGTCAAAACATGGGTTTGTGTCATGGCAACAATGATGTTGGTGGTGGTGGTGGTAATTTTGGTAGTGATGGTCCCTGCAGAAGTGGTCAGTATGCTCGTATTTTGATGTATGTGACACTATTATTAAGTGAGCAACAAATTATTATATATGAATCCATGATCTGGATTGGGATATTTGTAGGGTAGCATATGGAAATCAAGCTAAGGTAAAGATTAAAAGAGGAAGATGATTTGGATAACAGAAGTGGAAAAGATGTAGGAGATAAATTAGCTTGTTCTCTTGTTTGTACGTGTACAAGGTGAAGCTGTGATAGAGGTAGTGCCGAAAGTTACCTATATGAAATGAATTGTTTGTTCTAAATGCGAGATTTTGAGAAAGGATTCTCAAATTTCGTGTTTCCCAAATTTCCTACAATGTGAAAAACATGTTCCAAATTCTTTTTATCAAACATATATTTCAGCATGTTTTCTAACCAAAATGGAAAGTTTCCTTTCATATTTAAGGGGATGTCCTCAATCCGGATTTCAGTGGACTTAAGAATTCCAACAAAATCTAAGTATCCTCAAGTTAGATTTCTATAGAATTCATTAAAATCCAGATATCCTCAAACATTCCATGAATTTTACTTATTATCATTTTAGTGGATTTTGAAAGATTTGGATGAACTTTTAGACCAAAAACTTGAATAACCCAATATATCAATGATCTCATTACCACCCCTGGATTTCAAATCCATTATTAAAAAAACTCATGACACGTATCACTCCTTGGCAATTCAATCGACCTTTTTCGATCTTCCAACCGGCGCACATACACTTCCTGTGGACAGAAGGCAAGTGGAGCGTGTTGGGGGGCTGTGCTGGACAGTTGTACCGTGAGGAATGTGGGAGATGCTGATCTGGCAGTAGGTTCATGGGGCATGGGGGGACTGTTTTGAATAAAAGGAGTGGCATTTGAAGAAATAGAGGGAGATGATGGGTTTGTGTCAGATGGTTGATGGTTTGCATCAGAAGCAGCAGGTAACAGAGGGGTGATACTGGTGTGTGGCTCACGTGTGGAAACAGGAACCAAGGAAGCAGGAAATGTAGATAAACTAGACGGAGACATCGTGGTACTAGTTAAACCAGAATAGGGACAAATATTCTCCAAAAACCTGACATTCCTACTAATATAGACCTTCCCGGGAAAAGCCAAGTCTTCTCGGTTCCAATGAAGAGAGAGAAACTCTCATATCTCTCTAAAACTCAGGCCACTTGAGAACTGCAAATGGATTACCGGCTCCGGGACCTATGCCGGAATCCTCATATCTTCCCCCACAACGAACAATATTATTGTACACATCATCAACATCCTTGCTACAATGTCTGGAATCGTGATAGGCGACGTTGGTATACGCACTCTCCGTCCGGCTTATACGAAAGGGATTTTACGAGGAAGGGAGCTGAATCACCTAGAGCAAGAATCCTTCCCAACAACCACTATCAAGTTCGGAGAAATGGGAATACCGCTCCCAGGTATTACTATAGGACAAACTATGATTTTGATTCAGGGCTAAATTTGCTGGAACAACGACACCTCTCTCACCGCCAACAGGGACAACCAAACTTGCAACACAAAGTTTATAGAGCCAAGACGGGTGTTACAGATGAAGGTTGGCACACGGTTAATTACATGAGACGACGTTCTCCTCACCCCAACCACCGAATCAAAGAGCATCAACGCCATTTCTCAGAAAACATATGGAATCCGGGTAATCTTAATCATTTTTCCTGCTTAGATGTAGAAGATGACTCTCTTAATTTAACGTAAGCAAATGATTACGGAAATTTTCTCCCAAATTATTCCTTTGATTACCAGAAGAAAAGGGAAGAAAAATACAGAAATCGGAAAAGAATTCCAAACGCCCGGAAAACTACTTCCAAGGATGGGCGGCACGGAAATCTTAGCTGTCGGCCCAAGGTCTCCTTGCCGGCGGCACCATCTACAGTGCCGGTGGTCGCGTCTTCAGGAGCTTGAGTAGCAAGAGCAGGTGCAGCCAGCTGAACAAAACGAGATGGACACGAGGAAGCAGAGTGACCTGGAGTATAACAAATGTGACAGACTACTGGAGGAGGGACAAAGTTCCCTTTAACTCAGGAAGAGCCTGCATAACCACGGTTAGTAAAAGAAGCAGATAAGGCATAAGTATAAGAATTTAACTGAACAGACATATCTGCTGAAACTGGTGCCCCAA